GGGTCCAGAGACCCCTGTAAGTATGCTGGACAGATGTGCTCCTGAGCCAGGGTTGGCTAAAGGCTGGGGTGGACTGCGCTGTGAAGACCCTGGCAAGGATACCGGTCTCCCCCTCTCTCTCTTCCATGAAAGAAATAAAAAACAAGTAGGGGCTCAAACCATATTCAAGGTATTTTACACTTACGTTTTACCTTTTCAAATAAAGAGATTATGTCTTTGTCTCTAAGGCAGGCTGAAGTGTTAGTTCTGGCTTGCTGATTATTTATCATAAAAGGGGCTTTTTCTTATTTTTGGTTTACTGAGATGATCACGTGATGTCTGCCCTTCCTTCATCTTCAGATGTCGCACCAACCTTGCATTCCCAGAGTAAGTCCCAGCTGGTCCTGGTGTAATCATCCTCCTTCACATGTTACTGGATTTAGTTTGCTAGTTTTACTCAAGATTTTTGCATCCATTTTCAGAAAGTTATTGGTCCATGTTTTTCCTTTCTTACGAAATCTTTGTCTTATTTTGGTATCAGGGTAATACTGGTCTCACAGAATGAGTTAAGAAGTGCTCCCCCAACCCAGGCCCCATTTCTCAACTGTGTGAAGGGATAGTGTTATTTCTTCCTTAAATATCTGGCAGAACTGAAGCCACTTGGTTCTTTGGCTTTTCTGTGACTCTTTGCCTCTTAAAAGAAGTCAAGAAATTTCAACTATATTTCCTCTTATTCCATGAGAAATCAGAAAGAGGAACAGAAGAGATGATGATGTCTGTTTTGGTTTTGAAAAAGTATTAAGTGATTGTATAAACAGGCAGTGTGTAATCAGAGAGGGGAGGCAGTCTTCCTTTTATTTAAGTTATCCATTCATCTAATATACTTTTAAGATTTTTCAGTTTTATGGGTTCTGGACACTTACAGTCTAGTTACCCTTACGAGAACCCCAAGAAATTCTATCAACCCCACTTTACACATGAGAAAAGAAAAGCTAAAAGAAATTCCATAATCTGTCGAGGTCACAGCTAGGACAGTGCGATGCATGCAGTGAAACAGGTCATGGCTACTCGGCAACTTGTCATTTTGGGTGAATCACTGGCCTCCTCACCTCTAAGACGGTAACAGCAGTGTCTCCCTTTCCGGGCTGTTGCAGAAACCAAATGCCAAATGCCATTACGCTAACTGCTGGTT